ATTTGAGCATTTTCCAAAAAGTATGCAGGATTATTTAATTACGATGTGCATTCATTTTAAACGCGTTCAAACGATCGCAATGATTTGATTTTTAAGCAGGGAACAGATTTCATGCTTATAATTTGCACTCTTCAAACCCTTGACAAAAAAGAAGAAGCGATTAAATTTTCGTTTCCAGCGAAGAAAGTAGTATTTTACGTACTTGAATCTCGAATGTTGGCACGAAAAAATTTCGAAATACAGTAGATGCAGGAAATGTATTCTAGAAGCAAAAAATAATAATAATTTGAAGTCCTGAAAAATCCGATTTGGTTCATAGGTTTTGTTTTTCCTTGTTCTGGAACAGGAGCCTAGAAATCTCGCTCTCTAGGTCGTGTCGTCCTTGCCAGAATTTATTTTTAATGTTTGCCTTTTTTGAGTTTCTCTGGAAGGTTCCGTTTATACACATAACATGTCACGCCAGACTGGTGGGCTGACATACAAACTCAATAGCGATACTGAACAGGATTGTGTTCTCACGACAATATTGCTTCGTTGACTATTGATTAGTTTCCTGTGCGTCATTTCAAATTATTATTTTTCACTTGAATGACTATAATATGCACTCGTAGCAATCGATTGAGAATTATCGAGCGTGCGGTTTGGAACGATTTTTGGGTTTAAAACGACTGGAAGTCTTTGGAGTTCTGTGCAGACTGAAGGTGAGTTTAAATTTAAATATTTGGTAAATTGAGTATTTTTCTGGGATGTGAAACTCAGTAGGACACTTCAAAGTACAGTATTGTAAAGAAGAGTATTTTGATATTATTGTTTATTGCTCATAGCTTTTTTTGCGCCCAATCCTGAGTGCTGAAATGCCAGACAGATGTCGCACGAATCGGACAAACAATTATCGAAATTTGAATTCCAGAACTGACGCAAATTTAGTGAGATGAACCAAAATTAAAATGAAGCGATGCGGAGGAAACCAAACTAACATTTTTATTTTTCATCGCTTTCATTAAAATTAATGGAATTATTGCTGTTTGCGGGTAGAATACACCAAGAAGATGCAAAAATAGTACTGTATCAACTTATTTCGTAAAAATATTCCACTGAAAGGAAAGTAATTGATGAAATCAATGAAATTTGCAAGCTCTAATTCTTTTAGGAAATATTTTTATTAAAGAAATGTTGTAACTTTTGCAGTGGTAATTTTCCGGATTTTAAAGAAACTTTATTTTACTTGAACAGGGAGTGTTTTGGGGAGGCCAAACGAAGTGTGACTTAATTTTCAAACACCACACTCTTTTTTCACTCTGGGGTAACTTCCAAAATCTTCAAACATACACAGGACAGAATCTGACTTTTGGAATTATGATTTAGGAAAGTCTTTAATAAAAGATGGCCCTTCATCAGATTTTTTTTTCAATCAAAAAGCCTTTTACAAAACTTTTGAATTCTACGAAACGAAGAGCAGTGCTTTGAACCTGCAAAAAACTTTGAGAACTTATGAAAATCAGTCATTAAAATCTTGATGAATTAGATTATGACAAAAATCCCCCGCAAGTGTATTGGAATAAAGATTATTCATCGACCTCTATAAACTCTTGTGATTAGTTTGTTGTAATGATATTTTAAAGTATTTTCCTTTGGCATAAGCCATATTCTTAAAGTAGTTTACAGCAGTTCAATGCCACAAAGTTATTGGGGAGACACAATGTCACCGGATCAAATGTGGCTTGAATGTGTCAAGGCCTTTATTTACTTTCTTATTTTTTGTTGTTTGAAACGTATATTATCAAGAATTTGATGCCTCGAATGGTGTAATTTAAAGCTCGGCGTAAGCTCAGGTTATAGCTTTAGTGACAATGGTGATTGAATTAGTTGATTTCCTCTCAATTTGTTTTTTTAAATCACATCTTTCTTTTCCCTGCGGGCTTTTTTTTTTAATCTCAGGATGTGAATTCTGTAAACAGGCTTGAAAAAGCTGAGTGAATCATCATTTTCATGACTTTTCTGGGACGAAATTCATGAGCAAGTTTTCGGTGATGTGATGTTTATTCTTCTGCTGAAAGGCGTTGGATTGAATGTGGCATGGCTTGACTCAGCTCTTTTCCAATATATTCCGCAGTATTCAAATTGTGGCATAATTTAATCCTAGATGCATTTATCCTGTGAAGAATAATTTTCCTGCCTTTTTTTTCATCAGTCACTCGAGCGGCTGCCGCCGAGCTGTTTGCCGTGCGATACTAAATATGGCATTTGTCAAAGGTTACCAATGCAAAGGTCACCGCCTACTTTTTATTGAAAATTTCGATTAGGAATATTTGTCATGGTTACTTCCCTTATTGCTGAACAATTCTTTGGCGGAGTATTGATTAGCGCATCTGTTTTTCAGCGTCTATCGAACGAGTTCCATGCGAAATTCCTGCAATTTTTCTTCGGATTTGTGGCAAAAATGGGTAAACATCTTCAAAATAGTTCATAGAGATTATTTATTTCAGTAAATTTGAATTTCATAATCTAAATGCGGCTTTGTTTTGTGTTCTTTGAAAGCGTAGAAATGTACATGGCGAAGTAGAAAAAATCCGACTTACAGTATTTTTAAACTGAACAAATTCTTGGATATTCGAAATTCCGCAGCAGTTATGTCTGATGATTGGAGTTTTATTGATTATGTGACTAAAGGTCGAATTTTCAAAATCCTCATCAATTACTGTATATATACTCGTACATTCAAAAATTGAGACCAAATCAATGATGTTTAGAACTATTTTCCAATACCTCGTCTAAATCAAAATCTAAACTAGAAATGAGTTAATGGCACGTATCTTAAATTTCTTGGCCAAATTTCTATTTTTCCGATACTCACCTAAAATGTGAATTTCCGTCACTGATTTTCAGTCATGTCAGCCTTTGAGTTTCAAAAATTTTTTTTAAATTTAGGATTTCCGTGTGCACAATTTTTCGATTTTCAACTGAAATTGTTAAAGGCTCGAATGTACTATAATTATTTTTTACGTTTTTCTATATAAACAGCTGCCAGTTGAAATTTTTGGAAAAACGGTATGACTGTGTAAAAATCAGTCAATCGTTTCCCACTGCACCCGTTGTAGAACCCATAAAAACACACTGAAAACTACAAAAACAAATTGCGAAATTGACTACTTGTAGAGAAATTAAATTTTCTTGAAACGAATAATTATTTTAATTACTGTATTTCTTGGATATTTTCCGGTGGTTGAGAAAGAGTCGACTTTTTTATTTTTCAGCAGAGAAGCATTATTGGAGAATTCGTTGTTTATGCGAAGTCACGCAATGGAAAGAATTATTGGCAGCAGAAAGAAACGTGCTGAATTCATTTATTTTCTGCTTCGCCTTCTCGTCTTATTTCTGTAAACACGAGCAAGTGGTATTTGTATCGAAGTAATCATTTCAGTCCAAGGTTGCGGATCGATTCATTTATGGAATATTGTATCTAGGGAATAACAAATCTATGTAGAGGTGAGCCTCAATAACTTGAACCTCCACAATTGGAATGCCCCCCTAAGTCAAATCTTTTCTGGTCTCCATCTTAATCCCCCTAGAAACAATACATTAAAAACCTCCCTAAGTCAAAAAGGCTTCTCCCATCAAACTTCCATGATTTGAATTTTTCTGTGACCTATTGTCCATTATTCTTTTGATCCAAGAAAGAAAAAAGCAACGAAAACAGAAATTGATGGGTTTTAAAAGAAAGTGAAAGATGTAATTGGGCAAATGAACTTCAAGTTCAGCATCCTTTCAACTCATTTTAGAAGCAATTTAAGCCCCAGAATATCGCCATTTACAATTTTGGGCAATATTTCTATTTCCCAGAACAAAAGAGCTTTGTACAGCAGCTCAAACATCTAAAGTTCAAAACCTTGCTAAGTGAAATATTTTTGCTGGTCCTTTGAAATTTGACTTAGAGAGGTACAACTGTATTACAATCTACACAAACAATTATTTTCATCAATTTTTTTTTTATGATACAACAGAAAATCTGTGGGTAGAGAAATGTGGTCTGTCTAACATCCTGAAAATTTTTGAAGATTTTTAGAGACTACCTAATTTCAGTTTTATCGGTAATCATTTGTTTCAAGAAACAGTTTTCTGATCAAATTGCAATATGTGATGGCAAAATACTTCTTTTTCTGCATGTTGACCTTGAATCATTTGGTGAAGTTTCCTGCAATAAAACACAGTTTATTATCATTAGTCTCGAAAATTACTAGAAAGCCACGAAGCAACCGACAACAACAAAGTTCGAGTTAAAACAAGCCAAGAAACTCAATCGTGACAGCGAGTGACATCTACCAACTCGAGAAAAATTCGCATTTCATTCGATGAAGTGGGAAACATGTCATGGAATGATTCACGAAGTTTTTCGTGCGTCGCGTAATAATTTTGAAAATCTTTGAGAACGATTCGAATTTTTGTATCTGTACAATGTTTTTTTTTGTTATTCCAAATTGTCACTTGAGACAGGTTTCTGTGTTTTTATTCAAAAGGGTAAATACCGATTTCTTCCCTACGGTATTGAATTCCACGTGCATTGAATTCCATTCCAGGGAAAAAAGTACCACTGATCTACCCTAACTTTCCGAAATACAGTACTTTATTCAAAAATAAGAACCACCCGTGAAACTGTGACAAAACCAAAGCCTGGGAGAAAAGATAGAAAGCTTATTATAGAAAGCCGACCGACAGCCGAAGGTCTTATTGAAATCGAACGATTTGGCCGCTCATTGTTTCGACACAGTTGTGTGATAAATGTGTGACGTTTACGTGACAAAGATAACATTTCATTGGATATAGGATGTGTCGCGGAATTTCGGCGCATTCTTTTTCTTCTGACGTGGAAAACGTCACGTATTTCTGAATTCTTTCCGCGACCGCGTTTCGATTTCACTTCACTGGATTTCGGGCGGAAAGAAATCCCTGAATTTGTAATAAAGTAGATCCTGAAATTATTTAATTATTCGCTTTTATTTCACAGGAATCAACGTTGAATTTGGTGCAGTGTGAAGGAAAATTTGGCTATTAAGAAGCTGAAACTCGGGAAAAAAAAGTTGCGGTTTTCGACGAATTTTCGCAAAGAATGGCGATGCATTAATATTTGAAGATGGAATCCATGGATTCGCGAATTTTCCAGATGTTTCTCTGACGCTTTTCATCCAAAAGGTGAGTTTTTAAAAAGTCCAAAAACTTGAGAATTTGTAAATTCAAATTTCTGCTAAATCCCTGAACCATTAAAACAATATTCTAAATTCTGAATGAAGCAAAATCAGGGACGTAATGTATTTTCTATGAAGCGTCTGCTTTGCATGCGAAATTACAGTTATCAAGCTGAAGTGGTCCAAAAATGTATTTCCTTTTGAATAATTTATATCACATGACCTCATTCGAAATTTTCTGGAACTGTGGATAACCTTGAAGTGTGATGTGAACATAATAGAAAATTGAATTTACTTGAAAAGCCGAGTTATTTAGAGCAGTTTTCCCCAACGATTTTTGGCCCGCGTGCCGGCGAATTCCCATACCATTTTTTCCTGGCCAGCAAATATTTCAAAAATATTCTGCAGACTGGAAAAATGTTATGCATTTTTGCAGGCTTGAAAAAGTTGTCGTTAAAAGACTTTATGACAGATATTTGAAAAGCTTCTGCTTTTTTTAAATATGCTAAGAACCAATCAAGCAGCTATAGTGGGATGTCTTAAAAAAATTTAAAAAAGGGACTTTAAGAAAGGTCTCTCAGAATGAAAACTAGAAATAATTTATTTTACCCAGTGAAAATTTGTCAGAAGTGCTATTCAGAGAAAAGCCAACTTTTATCATATGCATCAGGCAATTTCAACTGACATCGTCTTTCAAGAATTTCCGGTAACGTTAAACTTCTTATACTTGTGCTGAAGAACATTTTCGCGGACCAGCAAAAAACTTCCGCGGACCACGAAAAAAAAATGGCAGGAAAGCTATCTGTGTGAAAATCAAATTTATTCAAATGTGGATCTTGCATGGTTATGAATGAATGAACAGAAAACTTTATTTGCCGCTTTTCAGCATTCACAAGGCACAACCAAAACTCCCGCAGCCAAACCCCCTCCCCACAAAGCAAACGATGAACAGTTTGCATAAAACATCTCCCCAACGAATAAAAAGAAGGTAAAAATAAGACTAATTTGTTCCACAGAAGCAAATTTTCCGGATGAAATGCAGGAGTTTTCCGAACGTTTTGCTTTTCATTTTTGAAATTATTTCATTCTCGANATTACAATCTTTTCTCTGCCTTTATTGATGTTACACTTGAGAAACTGGACAAAATCTTCTGCTGATATTATTGCACTCAATTCTGGGTATATTGCAGACAATTTAACATAGAATGTCTTGAATCCCTGTAATTTCAAGTTGGTTATGTTTATGCAGAAATGTAGTGGAAAAAGTACACCTGAAGTTGATCAGATGTACATTTGAATTCAATTCAATAATGCGATGCTTTTTCAACTCCATGCAAAAAATCATTTTGGAAATATGCGGTCCAATCCACTCAAAAATTGCTTTAATATCTTTATACGGCCTTCCTCTTCGAAATTTATTTAGAAGAACCGTTTTGAATTTACTCAACTTTCGAATTATTTCACATTTCTGGGGCATTAAAAAATCAAAATCTATTTTAGAATTCACGGCGACGCCTGAAATTCGAGTAAGAATGGTGCAGCACATATGTTGCATCAATAATTTCCGAAGCGATTTCCACGTAATCCCTGAACGTTTTTGCATGTAAATACGAGGGAAATCGCCTGGAAAATGTTGATCGCGCAGATTAAGGTTAAGCGCAAATCTTTTGTCGCTATCAAATGCACAGCGGACGAACCCGTCAAATATTTTTAGCATCGCTGCAACGTTTCGCAAAATAACCGGGGAAAAACAGAGGAGACGCACGAACCATCTGAAATTTTCATCGCGCATTTTCCACATCGATCTATTTTTTGATGATGAACCAGAAGTTTATGATGGATGAGAAAAAGGCTGTTAATTATGAATGCATCTGTTGACTATCGAGTCCAGGAATAGCGTTTCTTCGGTCGACTTTCTGGACGCATCCATGCATGCAAATTTTTCCGCGCAGAATAAATTTGCTGCGGGTGTGTTTTGATATGGATTTTATCGGAGGGAGTTCGTGGAAATTCCACTTTGTGGTGATAATTTATTCACAGCTCTTTTTTAAAGAATGGTCAATAAGTGCTTTCAACTACGTGCTTCAAAGTTGGAATTCTATCCCGAAAGAATTTTTAAGGACAAGTTACGAAAAAAAAAAATTTTGAGAATACTGTACCAACAGTTTCCTGCTGAAAAAACATTTTTGAAATACAGTTATCAGGCATTTTTATAGATGGATTAATTCTCTGGAATTCACACATTTTTGGTATGGACAAAAAAGTTACTTTACATATTTTTAAAATGTTTGCCCGATTGGATTCGAGAATGAAATAATTTCAAAAATGAAAAGCAAAACGTTCGGAAAACTCCTGCATTTCATCCGGAAAATTTGCTTCTGTGGAACAAATTAGTCTTATTTTTACCTTCTTTTTATTCGTTGGGGAGATGTTTTATGCAAACTGTTCATCGTTTGCTTTGTGGGGATCACAAAACTCTATTTTTATTTTTATTTTTTAACAGAAACACTCTCAAATGTACGTGACGTTGATTGTATGAATTTCATGATTCCTTGTGACTCGTGGCTGATTTTTAATTCATCACGGCGTTCTTGTCGAATGAATCCGCGTTTCGGAAAATCGGGGAGAATTTCGGAAACTGCATTTATCTGGGCTAAGAATAAATTTGCAGCGATGGAAGTCATTGCAATTTCAGGTCGAGCGTGCAAAATGTCGTGCCCTCGGGTCCAACTTTAGCCTCTTCGCTGCTGAAGGACACGTACGTGACGTCAAATCGCCTGCCATATTCGTGTTTATTTCTTTCTTTCTCTTTTTTTTGCACTGTTTGTTATTCTTGCGTTTATTGTCATTTCGACCGCATATAAATCGATGCGCTTTTATGGCGGACGTCATCAGACTCGGCTCCTCTTCATCAAGGTCTCTTGGAAAACCTGTTTATTTTGTGACAGAGGTTCGATAAGGAACTAGGCACGGATAAATCAGCAATTTTCCATCCTGTGCCAAATTCTATGAGGGTTTAACCAAGCTGGATTTGTTGGAAATGTTGATCCGAAGAAATATGTAGCATTTCTTCTATGAGAAAAGAAGTGTGTGAACACAAACGATGGGGAATTTATTTTTTAAATGGATATTCGTGGAAGACTGAATCGTATGTCGGTCGTTTCAGAAGTTCTGTCTAGATGTCGCTTGAAACAGATGCAATAACATTTTGGTCCATTTTTTTTTCTTTTGAGAGATTTTTCCGATTTTCTAAAGCCAAAAATTTCAAGTCAAGTTGAATATTGGTGAGTGAAATTTGACCAACTTTGAATTTTCCGGAATAAGTGGTTTGCATAGGATTTTGTGAGAAATTGACAAGTTTCAGGATGTTGAAATCAGGCGTATTTGATTTTTGCGAGTGTTTTGCATGAGTGAAACAGATTCGGAATATTTAACTATTTTTTTAAATTTCCTTTGCCATGATTACATTTTGAACTTCGGGTGTGGAACTGACCAGAAATGAACTGGGAATTAGTTTTTTTTTTAGACTCGGGTCAATTTTGAATTGATTAACGGAATTTTTTAGGAATCTGAAAACTTTCAGAAAGACCCTCGTACCCAGGAGGCAGTTTTGTTTCTGTCATCACCAGATGTTCTTTTGACATTTTCCTTGAGTTGCAAGGTTATTGTTTTCCAGGGAGATGAATGACTGACTTGGAAACTTTGAGGAGGAATTACCCTGTTTTTGAAGGGTCTTGAGGGGTTCTGGAGAATGTTTGAAAAGTATAACAACAATCTGGTGTTCAGTTGATCTGCTTGTCTAACCCAGTTCTTTTGCTGATCCGGAAGCAATTTCTTTTGACCTGGTTTTTTTTCGTTTGCCCCATTTATTATTGGCAAAACGGACGAGAGATTTGGTCTGGATGAGTAGGTATTGCTCAGTGGGTTCTCGAATTTAGAAATTCCTTCCGGGTTTCGTATTATGCAATGAAACCGTAGAATAATACCGGGAAAATATATTTTAGTCCAGTATATCCGATAACCACAGTGTTTATCTAGAATTCTTCGTAAAAACTTTTTCTGATGAAGCCTTTTTGACGGTCCCGATTCTTTCGTTGCAACATTAGTTTTCCTGCATTTGGAATATTTTTAATTTTTCCCAGACAAGTTTTAAAATTTCCGTCTTTGACCTGAATGACTTTTGTACTTCAATAAATCATTCGAATGACTTTGCAAGCATAACATCATAAAAATTGGCAGCTAAAATTCTGCCAATTTTTTGCTCTGACACTTCTGAAGTGTACATTTTTTTGTTTTCTGAAACGCAAACATTAAATATTCCTTTTTTATTTTAATAATTGTGGCGTTCCTTCAAAATTGGAACTTGAAGCTTAAACAAACTAGCTTGAATTTATCCACGTTTGTTTAAAAAAAAATTTATATGCAGTAATCGTTTTATGCAAATCAATCCACCCAAAACCAAGACTTTTTTCCTAGAATTTTTTTTGCGTGTTCTGTATTTCAAATATTCAACGAATCTTTGTTTTTCTTTTATTGAAAAGTAGCTTTTGGCAGAATTTGAAAGTGTTCCCATTTGCTTTCATTCATTCCCGTCTAGTGAAGTTCTTTGCAATTTTAAATGATTTTATTTTCATTCACCACAAGCAACAGTGAATTAGCCGGTGTTGAAGAAGTGAGGAACGAGTTCTGCTATCACTTATCAGTACCGAAAATTGTAGAATATTCTGTAGAGTAATGTAATTCGACAATTATTTATGTTCTTGTTGACAGTTCCGCAATTATAATAATATTTATGAACTGATGTCACCATGGAGTCGAGTAAAGTACGGAACAATACGTGATGCAACGTATGACATCTGAGCTGCTCAGAACCAGGAAAGAAGATCATATTTTGTTTCGAAGAATTGAAAAAAAAAAGAAAAAATCGCAAGATTACTTGCTTTTTGGTTCGTTAATCCTCGCGAGTTCGTCGGATCGCCGAGCTTGTGAAACTCGATGAGATTGTTTTTGTCAGGGTTTTTCGAGTGATTTTTGCTAGGATTGATTTTTTCCGAATATGTGTACCTTTTCCTGGATTATTTAAATAAAAAATCCTGCATTTTCCTGTTCCTTACTTTTTAGAAAATTTTTGTCAAATTCAAGATACAGTACAGAAAATGACTGCGCAAAAGAAAAGCACACAGAATCTGATCTTTTGGCATTAAAAGGAGCTCCAGAAGTAAAGAGCAAAAAAAAAGTATCGTTATACTTGCACAGATGATTTGAAAAAAACTCCAAAAAAAGAAGTGCAACAGAACTGAACTTTTAAAAGACTTGGGATTCTCACAATTTGATTTTTTAAAGGTTATCTTTCAAATCTTGGGGGACAAGGAGAAATTCCTATTGCCTTCTTCTATTTCTCCTCAAAGATTATTTCAAAATTGTTCAATCAATCAATAACAATCTGGGAACAGACTGAAAATGCCTCATGTTTCAAATTGCGCTCACTAACTGCCAGGTTTTGCGTATTCTTGTATTTTTAAAAACTACACAAATGAAGTATAATTTATGCATTTTTATATAATGAGATGTATATTTTGTTTTTTAATTTTATTTTTGAGTTTGGTTTGTGTGCGGGGCAAAATATTTTGATCTTTGTGAACTCTGACTAATGGCAAATAAAGCAAAAAGAAGCCCAAATTTAACCTGTTATAATTGAGAATTTGAGTTAACTTAAGATTAGGTTTTTTTAAATTCTGTGTGCATGTAAATAGCTCAATTTTTTTTTCAAAAAATGTCCAAATTGAAAAGAGGCATTTTCATTCTCTTCTAAAAGTTTAGGAAAAGTGTCTGGATCTTGAGACATTGTATATCCAAATGCCAGGCCTGATTTTTTAGTTTTGTGTGTTGAGGCGTCCGTAAGTCGGGGTCCCGCTGCTGATGCTGTAGTTGATGAAACCGTTCTTCAAAACGGGGTGTTTAATTAATAGTACATCTTTATTTCTGTTGTACAATCTTTTGAAACAGGCTCATCAAGTCGTCTTATTGAAGAAATAGAAAAATATCATCAATGAAGTCGCCGGGGTTGAGCGGTTTCTCGACGCCATCGTCGTCGTCTTCCGGCGCCTCGGAGCTCCACCAACGCCTCCCTTTGCTGCCCAACAGCCACCACGGTCACCAGTACCTCGGCAGCAACTCGGCGGCGTCTTCGTCGGGCAACCATCATCCGCTGGCGTCCAACGGCGGCGGCGGCGGCGGTTGTGGCGGCGGTGGTCATCATTGCCGCACGGATTCGGCGGAGTCGACGCAGATCCTCATCGAGCCTGACGACAGCGGGTGTGACGACACTGCGCTTTGTGGTGTCGACATGGCGACCAATGGGTTCATGGATGATGATGATGACGATGACGACGACGAAGATGATGATGATGATGATGATGAGGACGATGACGGGGTCGTTGTTGGGAAGGTATTATATATAGATGAGCTTTTAACCCCAGTTCTTTAAGATCAGGGGTTTCCAATGATCCTTGAACTTTTTTTTATATACTGTAAATGTTTTTTATGTATCTGCCATTTGTTGCTACTTTAATTGCTCGTATGAAGGATGCACCTCTGCCACTTCGATTACATTGATCAAACATCCTGATTCAAGTGCGTTGAAGAGCTGAAAATTGCCAATTTTCGAATTTAGTTGCTGCTTTGGATTCGATGGAAATTTATTTACGACACTGGAGAAGTGTCGAACTCAGTGTAGTTGCTCTTATTATTCATCCAATTAGTGCATTTCGGTGCTTTTTGGAGATGCAACGTATTACTAATGCAATGCAATAAAAGTTATTCTTTATTTTGGCTTGAAATTACCAATTATTGAATTCATTTTCTACGTAGAAATTGACGACTTTAAAGAGGTTTCGGACTCAGTTAATCTAATATTATTCGTCGAAGATGCATATTTCAAGAATATGTAATGCATTACTACAGCATTTGACTACAAAGATTAGAGGTATTTTCAGTTTAGGAAGAAATTTTCAATTTATGAATTTAATTTCTACTCATGGAATCGATTGAGATTTATTGGCGACGCTGAAGAAGTTTCAGACGCGTTTGCTCTAATTAAAGTTTGATCAAATTTTGCTCCTTCTAGACTTTTTGAATACCCTTTTCATTTCAACAAAAATAACAAGTTTCTTGAGACTTGGCAAAAAAAGATCAAGAACAGTAGCATTTTACTGATTTCGCACCTATTTTCGTTTTCGAACTTGACGTTTCAACTCTTGACCTCCGACCGTAAGACTTGATAAAAATATGATTGAATTTCATTTCTGTTGAAGGTGGATTTAAGGACTGAGTTTAGTAACGAAGTGGGAAACAATTCTCAAGCAAAAAAATATTAATGTAAATTTCATCCAAACTGTGTCCATCTTTTTTTTTGTTAACATGCCGAAACAGATGTTTGCGTGTTTCTGAGAGAAGCCTTCTATCCATCATCTGTCTCACATTCTAGAACATCTGTGTCTTGCTTTTAAAAATAGCTGAGAGAAGAAAATATTCGTGGTAGGTTTATTAAAACTTTTCGTGGTGAGCGAAATTATTTTGTGAGAAGATTGAATACTGTATAATGAAAAATCGAGAGAAGATTGTGGAACGGAAGAAAAATCTAGATTTTTGAAGCTTCGCATGAGATTTTTAATGCCCTATAAACAATAAAAAAATATATCAACATCTAAATTGTAACTTTAGAATATCCAGATCACTAGCATTTTTCGGGTTTAGGTGTACGAACCGTATTATATACGTACTATATCCGTATTTGAATAATTTCAACTTGTGACCAGCATGATTTCAAAATGGCAAATTCTTTGTCAAAAAGATTCTCATTTCATACCATGCTTTTAATTCAAGACTTCAGAAAACCTCTTCGTATTCATCAAGTGCAAAAAAAAAGTTTAGGCTGTCAAATATCTCAAAATACGCAAAAACCTGCGTTTCACACTGCTTGTTCTTAACGTTTCAGAGTTCTTATCTGAAACATGGTTATTTTTATTCGGCTCATGATCAAAACTAGATTACTTGAAAATCCGCATATTTTACGAAAGTCATGCATTTTTGTTATATATTTCTAGGTCGGGCAGAAAGTTGAGAAAACCCCTGGACTGTTGAAAGAATTCTCTTCCGCAAGATTCGGTGCCACCAGAGTGGACTTGCCTACGCCGACGAGGGACGAAGTCAAATTCCCCAAGGACAGATTCAAAGCATTCATTGGTAATATATACTTTTTGCATATTGATCAGTCACAATTTTACATTTTCCAAGTCGAAAGAGCATTTCAAGTATTCTTTTGTATTGAGGCTAATGGAACATGCGAAGAGAATCTGGTGGGGAAAAGGTCGCAGAAGTTCAGAGTTGGCCGAGAAAGTTTCGGAAAAATTTGTAGCTACAATTATTTTTTTTCTGCAATGCTGAAAATATACCCCTTTTCAGAAAACGTCAAATGGAAGATCATGGAATCACCTTTCAATGGATTTCAGTATAATGCGTTTCAATGTATTTGGTATATAACCATGAGCAACCCTATTTTAATCAAAAATAATGCAACTGTATTAGAAAATAAAATCAGCGCTGTTGATTCCGACAAGAGGGTTGAAGGGTAAATAAATATGATTTAAATTACGAATGACTTCACAGGATTTTCAGTTAGTTTGCAATGTCATTTCTTGGAGTACTAGATTTCTGGAACATGAAAGATTTTTAATACCCCATCTGCATCCCCTCATAAACAAAACATTAAAAACCTCCATGATTCAAATTTTCTGTACCCTGTTGGCCATTATTTTCTTGACCCAAGAAAGAAAAAGCAATAAAAAACAGAAATGTATGTGTTTTAAAGGAAGGGAAAGATTTAATGGGGCAGATGAACCCCTGTCTTCAAGTTCAGCATCCTTTCAACTCATTTAAGAAACCATTTGAGCCCCAGAATATCACCATTTGCAATTTTTCCAAGTTTCACAGAAAAAAAGGACTTTGTATTGTAGCTCAACCCCCTATAATTCAAAACCTCCTTAAGTTGGAACCTTCCTAAGTCAATTTTTTTTTTTGCTGGTGCCTTGAAATTTGACTTGGAGATGTTCAACTGTACTGTATACAGTGAGACCCTGAGATGCAGACGTAATTGGTGCATCAAGAGTATCCTTAAGTCAAAATGTCCCCAAGGCAAGTCTCATTTTTCCTTAGACTTACATTATATTGATTTTAATTAGTGTTTTATGTACAAAATACTCACCATAATTCCATGAAAATAAAAATTGTCTCCCAATTTAAACTGATTCCAATCAATGTATTTCAACGCAAAATGGACATTTGGGGAATTGAATTCTGATCCCTCTGTAGAGTAGTGTACACAGAAATGTTGGCATTCTCTGTAAAAAAAAAAATATTCAAGTGAAAATGAGAGAAGGAAGTCCCTTTCTGCTGGAGGTAATTCTTTAAATTAGCTAAATGGGTGATAAATTGGTGAGAGAAGTGCCCAATAACTTTTCTTACATCAATTTCAGGGTTGGAAATATTTGTTTCTTGTAATTTGGCCTGAAATGTATTTGCAATTTTATCACAAAATGTCCCAGTGTTGAATTGTCTGCAGGTCGTCAAGGTGCCCGCATCTGGGCGTCTCACTGTATATCCTTATTCTTGGTCCACAGCCTAAGTTCATCCTTGTGTTTTGTATTGACCTTTGTCTGCAACATCCTGTAAAATGGCCCGTGTTCCAATTTATTTCTCAGCCTGGTTGCTGTTTGTGTTCTGCGGAACAATCAACATGGTGTCCCTGTCTTTGGTTCACGATCGCGTGCCAGACCGGGAGAAAGGCCCATTGCCAGACATCATCCTGGACAATATCCAGGCCAAGGACTGGGCCCTGTACTTGTCAGAGTACCTGCTCATGGTCCTCACGCACGGCTGCATACTCATCACGATTTTCCACAAACACAGGTGCGCGATTTGAATCATTTACATTATGAGCCATGTACCATACACGACATGAACAGGCTTCCTGTTATTTTTTGGTTGTTTTGCTTTTTTTGTTTCCCGTGTGAAAATAATGCTGCTGGCTTTCGATTGGGAATTTTCTGATATATTACAGGGATTGACGAAGGAAAAAAATAGCTGACATGTCCGATTTTTATGCGGAATCAAGTCACAGAAAGCAATGTCCAGGAATGCATTCAAACATTTAATTTCACTCTTCTTGATTTATGCATCTTTTCTATGCAAGAAAGAATAGTAAATTCATTAAAATCGATTAAATTTTCTTAACGCCAGGAAAAACTGGCGAAGGGTTATTTTCGAAATTCCTTCATCAGCTTTTGGTGATGGCTTGATGCTACACCTATACAAAATAGATAAGGGTTAATTTTGCACATATTTATATGACAAGTAATAGAACCAAAAAAGAAGCGAGAATTATTTTGCAGGATGTGTGAAATTTAACCGAAAATTCTTATTGTTTTTACAGAAAATATATCCTGTGAGAAAATTGAGAAATTCAGCTGAATTTATTTTTTTAAACAAAGAAAAGAAGAGCTTGTTCACCTTTTGACTGATCAACACTTTTAATTGATTGATCGCAAGGCTTTCAAGTACTTGTATTAATTTGAAATTTAACTTGGAATCAAGTAGAAAAAGTAACCCTTCTCCGTTTGTATTTCTGCAGCAGTACGCTCGGGACAAATTTTAGTTTAAAAGCTTTTACAGATTTAATCTCTGACAGGGTCCAATTGAGTATACAGTACTTTATTTACCGAAGTACCGTGTACCGAAGTACCGTGTACCGAAGTACCGTGTGTACTTTTCCCCCAAAAATTGGGACCAAAAAAGTTACACGCGTGTCATACTAGAGTTCAGGCATTTACTGCAAATTTTCCGAAAAATTCGTATGCTGATTATCTGTGGGGCCACATCGCAGATGAATTATGAAAGAAAAGAAAATTGAACGTAATTTAATTATCTATCCAAGGACGAACTGATAATTTTGACGGTTGTAATTTTTAAATTTTAAATATTTTCCCTGAAAACTGTGAGGTACGCATCTTCAGCAAGGGTACATGGTACTCAAATTAAATTCAGTACCTTTGATATGTACTGTACAATATTTCCGATGAAACCGTGGACTCTGATTACTGTAGAATACAGTGTATCATTCCTGAAATGTTTGATGAAAAAATATGACGGTGTACTCATTCAAGAATTCTTGAAAGAAAAAAAAACTATCATCCAAAGCCTGTGAAAGCAGAAGGACGCATTTCTTTATGATCTTCGGCTCCAACAACAAGAAAACTGTCATTACTAATGAATTATTTTGAGGAGAATTCGCTCTATATGTATGAAGCCACGCCCTTGTTGGTTATATGAAAAATTGCACTTTGCACTGATTAAATCCACCCTTTTGTCCGGACTGTGTGTGACCGGTTGAATCACGTTCGTGGAATAATGCTTCGTGAATTTGCTGATGGGAAAACATTGCGTGGAAGAAATCGAAGTACAGTATTGTGTACTACTGTAGATGTAAACTGTACTGGAAATTATTGCTTTTTTTCTCGCGAGATATTTTGAGACTTGAAAAAAAAATATATGAAGCGAAGCTCCCGCGTTTCTCGTTTTTATTTTTTGCCAATGGGACAACTATAAAACATATATTTCTTTTAAACACTTTTATAAAGTTTAATATTCCTGTCAGGATTTCACGTTTTGACATGGCATCAATTCCAAGGTTCTCTCCTAATATCACTTAACATAATGGAAAATTTCCAAAATTCATTGACCAAAACGGCACATTGGTCTTGGATATTTTGAATAAGCATTTTCTGCGCAATACACAAAGATGGTCAAAAAAAGGACATTTTCCCATCGATCGACATTCGCATTTTTCCGGGGCCAAGTTAGTTTTCAAGCTTGTGGTTACAGAAAAATTGGCGTTGAATTTGAAAAATAAAGGAAACGAAGGACAAAAACTAAGTTATAAATCTACCTCCAGATTCCCTTGACTTTACTTGAATTAATGAAAAGCTTTTCAAAATGGGCTTACTAAAAATCAAAAATAATTTCAATTGTCTGTTGGATTCAGAAATAATAAAAATTATTGTTCACCATCAAAGTCTATGTGAAAATCCAGACGTCAATTTTTTGAAATTTGAACACAGACCTTGTTGAACCTAAACAATTGGTTCTTAACTAAAATTTATCTTTATAACCATTACATATAAAAAAAGTTAAAAAGATTAAGTACTCCTTTTAATCCAAGATAATATTAAAGAACTGATGATAAGCCACTCCGTCATGTGCCATCTAGCTTTTACAGTATTTTTTGATTGACTTCTTGGATAATATAGAGTTATAGACTTTCCGCTTTAATGAATCATCAAGTCTCTAAACCGAACCACCGCATTTCATGACTTTTCTTGAGAATTACCGAACCGAATTTCGAAAAGAACGTTTGAAAAAAATTTTGAAGGCTATTTTGGGGCTTTTTCTTCATTTCCGATTTTTTTTTCTTGTTTGTCTTCAGGTGGATCTTGTTCAGAAGATGCTTTTTCCTTCTGGCACTGCTGTACCTGTACAGGTCGGTCACCATGTTTGTGACAGTGTTGCCAGTGGCGTCCAAGACGTACGAGTGCAATGAGTTCAGGTTAAGGTGCTGGCGGCGGCAACAAAACGTAGCGTGAAAGCTCGAAGAAAACCCAGAGCCTGACAGGCAGTTACCTGTGGTGTTTATGACACCGCTGATGTAAATGAGCCCTGTGTGGTACTTTCTGGTTCTGGGGGCACTGGTTGTCCGAGAATGTGAGTTCCATAAATAAATTAAAAATTACACACTGTTCGTGCATGACAATTACGGAAACTCCGAATATACCAGACGGAATATTTCGTGCTATAGGAGAGTTTCGTGGAAGTATTGCGAATCACCTAGTGACCTAAAAACCACAGTATTTGCCAGAGGAAGTAAAATGATTGGTCAGCATTGAGCGATTTATATTTTATTACAAATGTCCGTCTGAGAGATGTTGTTTTGGGTTCCCTACTGTTTTTTTTAGACAACATCTTTTGGGCATACAGCGTTTAAATCAGTCTGCAAGGTTCCTTGTCTCATTAAAAAGTACAGTCAGAAGGGTCCAAATTTAATCTCTCAAAGAGAGAGCGCCAAACAGCAATTTTTGCTCTCAAGCCTTGCCATAAAAGGGACAAGTTTTGGCAATTGCTGAAACTCATCCTTGGATACTTCTGTGAGAATTGGGTTTCACCCCAACTCTAACAAGAAATAGAGAAGGACCAATGGTCCTAAATATCTTGAACCTCAGGCCAGAGGAAGTACAGTAAAATGATTGGTCAGCATTGAGCAATTTATATTTTATTACAATACAGGCAGACTCTCTATACAACAAAACCTGAGGGACCAAAAAAAATTTGTTACATGGCAAGTTAAACCTGTTGAGGACAACATAAGGATAAAGAGTTGCCTACTGTGGATTAAAAGGATTTTAGTTTGAGAAAAACACAGACTCAGCCTGGGACAAAGGGCCAGAAATTCTTGGTAGAAACCCTAATTTAATTTTCAGATGTATTTCAGTTGTCCCAACAATTTTTCCAGATTTTAAGAACAAATTCAATACACAAAAGTGACAATCATACCTCTCAGCAAACTCTGGTTTTTGGACACACAACTGCTCCCAATGACAGCTAGGCTCAGAATGATGGTATTGGGAATTTAAAAAGTTTTTTTTTACTAAATTACTGCAGTGGCCTTGATCCAGAAACCAGGCTGGAGATCAGGCATTTTTGGGTGGCCTGAGATTGGCCAAGAAAAACAGAATCAAAGGCAACAATACAGGCAGACTCTCTACAACAAAACCCAAGGGATGACAAAAAAAATCTGTTGTAGAAAACCCGTATGTCGCAAATTTAGTCAGACGTTCCAAGGAACAGAGTAATTTTTCATGTCAGTCTTCCCAGTAAATTTAAACTCTCAAAGAGAGAGCGCCAAACAGCAATTTTTGCTCTAAAGCCTTGCCATAAAAGGGACAAGTTTTAGCAATTGCTGGAACTCATCCTTGGATACTTCTGTGAGAATTGGGTTTCACCCCAACTGTCACAAGAAATACAGAAGGACCAATGGTCCTAAATATCTTGAACCTCAGCCCAGAGGAGGTACAGTAAAATGATTGGTCAGCATTGAGTGATTTATATTTTACTACAATACAGGCAGACTCTCTATACAACAAAACCTGAGGGACCAAAAAAAATTTGTTACATGGCAAGTTAAACCTGTTGAGGACAACATAAGGATGAAGAGTTGCCTACTGTGGATTAAAAGGATTTTAGTTTGAGAAAAACACAGACTCAGCCTGGGACAAAGGGCCAGAAATTCTTGGTAGAAACCCTAATTTAATTTTCAGATGTATTTCAGTTGTTCCAACAATTTTTCCAGATTTTAAGAACAAATTCAATACACAAAAGTGACAATCATACCTCTCAGCAAACTCTGGTTTTTGGACACACAACTGCTCCCAATGACAGCTAGGCTCAGAATGATGATATTGGGAATTTAAAAAGTTTTTTTTTACTAAATTACTGCAGTGGCCTTGATCCAGAAACCAGGCTGGAGATCAGGCATTTTTGGGTGGCCTGAGATTGGCCAAGAAAAAAAGGATCAAAGGCAACAATATTGGGAATTTAAAAAGTTTTTTTTTACTAAATTACTGCAGTGGCCTTGATCCAGAAACCAGGCTGGAGATCAGGCATTTTTGGGTGGCCTGAGATTGGCCAAGAAAAACAGAATCAAAGGCAACACTGGGGAAGAAGCCGTGGAGAAGAAAGTTCTTAAATTTTCCCAATTTTTCCTGGTGCTCTCTGAGTTTACGTTTGGGCAGTTTTTCAACCCCATTTATGCCTTAACTAATGAGGTGTGTGTTGTGAATTGAGAAAAACTGACTTTGAATAAAATAAAACTCAAGGATTTGGTATGGGCTATGACTGGGGTGAATTTCACCCTATTTTAACGTTGGTATATTTAAGTTGAACAGAATCAGACACTTTGAAATTTTGCAGGATCTTTCAAACAGCACACACAAGATTCAGATTTGTAATAACAAAAATAGGAAAGAGAAGGCATCAGGAAAACTATCCTTCAAGGATACTGGGAGTTGGCCAGAGATGGCCACAGACATATAAAAACAGAGTTTTAGTGAAAACAACCTCAGAGGTCAGTTTGCACCACCTCAGGAATTCCAGGGAGCACAGGGGTTTTCCCCAAATTCCAGGAATCCCAAAGGGTAGAGAAGACAAATTTTATGTACCTTGAAAAACTTGTCTTCCCTCAAATCCATCTCAAGAATTTGCAACAGCACATATCACACTGAGGCACCGGGTCCCCAACAAACCCAGTAGGACCACCAAAGAATCTTTACAGAGAGAAATTTGTTGTAAACAAGATTTTTGTGGAGAGAATCCATACACCTGTATATTCAAAGTAGGACAAAATTTGGTCTGCTTGACACACAATGATCCTGATTGTCCACAAATGTGAGTTTTTACTGGACCAAATTACAGTGCTGTGTAAATTTATGATTTTTTTATCCATACACCTGTATATTCAAAGTAGGACAAAATTTGGTCTGCTTGACACACAATGATCCTGATTGTCCACAAATGTGAGTTTTTACTGGACCAAATTACAGTGCTGTGTAAATTTATGATTTTTTTTCCTGGGAAGCTCCCAAATACATGAAGCCAGACAAGATATTACATGAAGTTAAACGTAATGTTAAACAGTCAAGTTTTAGTTGAATCAATAATACAGGATGAGGAATTATGTTTTTTTTTTTTTCAAGTGAACGTCACTGTCCAAATAAAATTCAAGAAAACTGTTGGTTTAATCGGGATGCGTGATTTTGAGTCACGAAACTTCCATCATTTCAGCGGGTATTCTTGCTTCAGGGAAGTTCTGTTTTGAGTGAACGAAGGTTTCAAAATCCTGAAATTCAGTGATTTGAATAAAAATAATTTTGCTTTGAATTATTATATACTGTATATATTTTTTTCAACAGACACTCCAAGACGATGGGTGATCCTGCACCTGTGCACAGCAGTATGGAGCTTTGTCGGAGTGCTGATGATCCTGTATTCCAGAGGCCATTACACTATTGATGTGATCATCGCCTACTTTGTCACCACGAGGCTCTTTTGGCTCTATCACACATTCGCAAACAACGTTCAATTAATGGTGAGGAACCCGAAAAAATGTTCAACTCCGCATTGAAAACCTAATTAAAATTATGGTGCAATATTTACCCCAAAGCTGTAGACAGCGTTCAATAATCGGTTGTAAGCTTAGGAACTCTAAAATAATTGTAAATAACTCTGGAATTGAAAAAAAATAATTAGAATATTAGATAGCTCTTCACTGAGTGAATCAACGAGAGGATTTTCTGACTCACGACACAGATAATTTTTCTGAGATTTTCAGCGATATTTTACAAATATTTTTCCCACTTTTTCTAAAAAAAAAAATTAAATGGGAATATTCAACATTGAATTCTGAGAGATGGAAAGTTTTGTCATGGAAATTATTACAGTAATTTTCGCGGAAATTGATTCATTGGGGCCCAAATGTGTGAGTTGAAATTTTTTCTAAAAATTTTACATCGCCCTTCAACAAAAAGCAAGTCGTAGAGTTTGTTTTTAAGGGTAACTATTATAAATTTCATGCTCTAAAATAAACCCTAAAACTAAAATTTAATGGGCACCTACGTAGTTGATATGATACGAGTTGTTAAAAAGGAACTTTCTTTCAAAGAAACAAAAATCGGATTCAGACGCTATTTACATAAATGAAAAGCTTATATATACACGCATTTCTTTACAACACTCGTTGTCATTTCCTTTTCGTTTTACCAAAAACCTTCGTAATATAGCAGTCATTAAAAAAAGTTACGGGAGCAATAAATTTAAAGGTGAGCTTGGAGCAGTTTGCATGTTATTCCCGGGCTTTCTGCTGGAATTTCAAGGCACGAAATGGGAAAGTTCTTTCCGCGTGGCTTGATGATTTCAATGTATGCACGATACTCCTCTACACTACGGCAGCGAAGTAATCCTGTTTATCCCTGTGTGTATATGCAGAAGGCGAATGACGAGAAGAACCCGTTGGGACGGGTGTGGTGGTTCCGGATCTTTTGCTACCTGGAGCGGAACGTCAGTGGCCCGGTGCCCCGACGATTCGAGGCCCCCGGGCCATTTGGCAAATTTTTTCGATGGGCGAGACACCGGAATCATCGACCATGAATCCATATTTTTTGCATCAAAAATGTATTTGTATTGTCTTTTGCGTCGATGTTGCCTGTGCTTTTTTCGCGTGGCAGGAAATTGCGAACTTGATTGCGTTTGCCTGACCGGGTTTTTCGTACCTGTCTTGCCCTTGCAAAATAACTAGTATTTCCTCTTTTTTTTACCGAATAAGAGACAAATTCTGAATTGATAACGCGAAAATAAGACGGGATTTTTTTTCTTCAAATTTAAAGCGGAAAAAATTCCTCTGTGTTCAAGGTTGGCTAGCAAAGAAAATCTAGTCCACTGTGCATCATTTAAACTTTTTAATTAGCTACAACTCGTTTGCTAAAAATGAGTGTAAGGAAGTAAACTGCTGAAAGGCAAGAAGTCCATATTAAAAGACTTGTTTTAGTCACGATTTACGTTTTATTTTTAATGTTAGCTCTAAATTTTAAATGTAAGAAATCATCCCGCATTCTCTCCATATGATCACTAGGTTTAAATTCAACTTGAAGGAAATTTAAATATTCAGATTAATTGTGCATTTATTTGTGGCAATTAATTGAACTTTCATATGTGCGATATTCTGGCTTAATAATTGGTTCACTTCTGGAATACACTGTAAAACACAGATTTTGGCATTCGGTTTTGTGATTTATATAGTGTTTTTAAATGAATTTTATTTCTTTTTTGAGCTCGTTGTCAAAATTTGAGGAGCGACTTATAAAATCGGAGGCGTCAAATTCTAGTGAATGCGGTATTTGACTGAAATTGTGAAACTGAAAGGCATTTTTCTGAGGTCTCATATGTGTCAGAAAATCCCATGTTGAATCTAAATTTCTGTTTTTTCTCGATAGCTTTGCAATCGAAAATAGTTACGGAACTTTGTGGGCCAGTATTTAAAAAATCGTTTCCCCAAAAATTTAGCCGAATTTTGACGATCGGGTCTTTACACACACAACTGTTTTAAGCCCGTTTGAAAAAGAAATCGCGTTTGAAACTTGTTTTCATGGTTGATGAAATTTGTAGCATTGTATTGCTAAACCTTAACGAAAATCAGTTTTGTCCCGTAAATAAAACTTAGGACTACACTTCCTCCAACTTCTCTTAAAGCTGGGCAACTTCGTTTCCAAAGCGTAAAAAGGCAGTTGGATTACGACTGCTTTTCTTACATTTCGTAATAGCTTGTCAAAATCTTTTTACGACGAAACTATACGGATTTAATTCGTATTTTTCGAGCACATCGTGAAGAGCTTTTTTCCCAAAGATATTCTTTCACTCCGTTGTGCGTGTTTCGAGCATCTGCTCGACTTTTTGAAAAGTTGGCTGTGATACATTTTTTTTTCAAATCTTGCGTGTTTTTAATTGGATTGTTCTTCGTACTTTGTTCCGCTTACTTCCTGTGTAATGCTTTTGGAAACTGCTTCAGTTTGCCAATATTTTTCCAACTGACATGTTTTAGATTTTCGATTCGAAGTGATGATTTTATCTTGGCTTTTTCAAAAAGTATCCCTTGGAGATTTTCGGGTTCCTGCTACGAAGAATCGGTGTTTTTAGGGCCGATTCATAAATATTAAAACATTTGAAACGAGCTTGAGAATCCACTAATGTATTTGTTAAATTTGCAACAAATTTGTAGAAAATTGAACGGAATTGAACCAGTTTCATTCTCCGTCTTCCTGAAAAAAAAGTATCGCCGGATCATCAAGAAAAAATAACAAGTTTGCTTATTTCCGGGAAATGTGATTTTAAAAAATCCCATTACTGTAATTATTTTCGAAGATATGACGGATTTCGTTGAACTGTCAGTTTTTTTTATCGCGTCTCTGTTTTTTTCTCGTTTTTTAAAAGGAGACATGTTTTGATGAAAATTGTTTCCTGAGTGTTGTGATGGGCGGAAAGCATCAGTATTTCGTTGAGGATTTGAAATGTGTGTGGATGATGAGAAGAAAAAAAACGAATTTCGTTTACAATTTCGTCATGCCTCACGGGATTTTGTGATTTTCATTGAGAAAAGTCGACATTCAGCATAATTCTTTGATTTTCAATTCTCAGATGCATTTTTTGCCATATGTGATTTCCTTAACAATATATTTATAACTAGGAACTGTTTGTTTTCTTCCCTTATAGTGGAAGAAAATGAAAATTTTTGAACTTTGAAAGATGCGTTTTCAAGGTGTAAATTCACGATTTTGTTTTCTTCAATTGTTGCCTTTGCATTCACGCTAAAATTTACGCATTTTGGCGGACAATGACAGGATTTTTACTAATACGAAAATCGTAATTCTGTTGAATCTGAACGTTGTTTTGAATTTGAATTACATGCGGTTGCATCATCTTAACTTTATTGCATTATTGTCAAGCAATTACAGTGTGGCGAGAAATTTGTAGCGTGATCCGATCATCCGAATGATAAAAAATTCCTTCATTCTGCTTGACAAGTAAGAGTTGCTCCTGTTTGGTTAGATGTCGCTGCCCGTGACATCAGCCGGAGTTTTAATGCGAGGCACTCCAAGTTCTAGTTCCTAAATAAAAAACAATTAATAGCACGTCAATATCAATCGAGTTATATATTTGAAAGGTATTATGTTCATTTCTTCCCTTTCTCTGCTTTTAATCCTTTTCAGCAATCTTTAATAAATGAACTTATCTTGTCATTGTTCTTGAGCATGCCACACAAATTCTGAAAATTGAATCAATGAGGATGAAATGCTTCATGTTTCTTCAATGATGAAGTTGTCTGGTTTTTTTGTCATTCATCCAGCTTTGATCAAATTTTGCATCTTCTTTATCTTTTGCTTTTGAACATTTCAATCCTTGAGGTTATTGAATCTGGATTCTTTTTAATTGTAATTCCATCATGCTAATTTTTTTTAGGGCTGAAAAATATACAGGCTAAGTCTCTCTACAATAATTTTTTTATTTTACAGGCATAACAATTTTTTGGTCCCAACTGGTTATAGGGTGTTCAGGAATTAATCAACCCCAACATGAAAAATTCAACCATAAATAGCACAGTGGGAGAAATGGTAAGAAATAATAAGGCAGGACAATCAGCTGGTTTGTGGCCAGGAATATGTAATTAAGGGGGTACCATATTTAAATATCCCTAATTTTGTCTGATTTAATCACAGTCCACACTGAATCACAATGAAGCACAATCCAAAAATGATGCATCACAATAAATATAATAATGCAAAACACATTCAATGAATGCAATAAATTTGTGCATGCAAATTTAGGGTGCAGTTATGCAATGCAATAATACAATCAAAAGAATTGGGGTTGAATTGTTTGAGGGAAGTTTAAAGTGAGATGCTAAATTGAAAGACTGATTATTGGGAGCTAAAGTGGAAGAGTTCTGGGTTTTTATACAATTTCAGCTGTTGCTTTGACCAGGTCGGCTGACCAAAGCATATGCAAATTTCCCCCCATCTGTGATTGGTGGGAGAAATGTTCATGAAAGAAGTCATGCATCTGGGGAACGGATGTACAAAGGAAAATTGGACCAGAATTCAGGTCCTTCTGCGACCTGACCCTGGGTCCAAGTTCTGGTTCCCCAACACACAGGGGTTCTCCTACAATGAAATTGTATATTCCACGAATTTTTCTTCTTCCCTTCTGAATTTTGTTGCGGGGAAAGTCCACCTTGATGCATAAAATTGTATTATTGATCACAGGAAAGCCATGAATTTGAATTTCGAGTTCTCCACATGTTGCAAAGAAAATTTTGTAATTTAAATTTCATGAATTATGCTGTGTGAGTTTTTTATTTTTTTATTCTCGCGCGACGAAAGTTTTTTGATGTTTTGAGTGTCTGTCGAGGAATTTGTTGCCCGTGTATAATTCACCTACTTTATACCTACAGTACTTAGTACAGAATAAGTACCAAAAGTGGTACTTGGTATCGCAGGAGTTGCTGGTTTGCCAACATCCCCGGCATATTTTCTCGATTGCCGAGCAATTCAGTCAAAAAATTGAAAAGCCTCTTGCGGTTACATTTTTTTTTTTTTTTGCCTGAAAAAGAGCTTTACAGTCCTTCAGATCCAGATGATGGAAACACTGCAAGCCCTTTTTTGATTCGCATTTGCAGCAATGAACACCTGCACGCAGGAGAAAAATCGGTCATTCGGAAGATTTGTTTATTTAACGTCGACCTTTCCGCACACACGTTGGGTCGGACACGGCGGCAAACAAAAACCCCGCGTCGAGGAATTTTCTTCGTGTTCCTCTCATCTGCAAATAAAAAAAATAAATAAAAAAAGGCACATTAAAATAACGAGGAAAATGTTTTTAAAAAAAGAAAAGAACTTTCGGGAGGCATTTCCGCTGTTTGCAACACACTTCCGCTTTTCTGCATTGCTGACGACGAAGAAGGTTTGTATAAGAGAGAGAGACGCATAAATTAACGTGGCGTCTTCAGTTGTTCCGTCCTATTTCACGACCTTTGTAACTTTCTTCCTTTGCTTAGTATTTTTGGCACTTTATTAATGACTACCTTGACACTTGGTGAGGTACAATGCACGATCAATTATCAGCTCTTACCGTGCTTTAAATTTTAAATAAAATGGACGCCGCAGAATATATTTCTCTGACATAAAAAAGACGCCTCCAGAAAATTTCAAGATTCGAAATTGGAAGATCTCACGTGCATATTTTGAAAGAACTTTACTCAGAATTTGGATCACAGTATATATATATTTTTAGAAGCGATTGAAATTTAACTTTTTCGACTCCATTTTCATTTCACGATTATGTTCGATTTCAAAGTAGGGTATTTGCCATTTATTTCTGGAGAGAAAAAAGGACAAAGGATACAGTTTCGCTGCTGACAAAAAAAAATATTCTGAGGTATTCCTCGTGAATTTGTTTCTCTTTCATGTCTGACATTCAACGTACAGTATTATTCGTGTGTATTATCCATGAAAGTCAAATTGAGAATATCAGGCATGAAAGGAAAAAATCATACAATTTATCAATGATTTTAGCTTCCAATGTTCGCTAATAAGGCAATA